GGGTGCTGCAGTGGGTTGCTCTGAGGTGCCACTGGGCTGTCCCTCGGCAGGTCCCAGGACTGTGATCCACCCCAAAGCCAGGATCATCGCCGAAGCGGGACCGATCGTCATCGGGGAGGGCAACCTGATCGAGGAGCAGGCCCTCATCATCAACGGGTCAGTAAGGAGCTGGATGGGGCTCTCCATGGCGGTCCCTCCCCCAGACCACTATCTCAGCATGGTCAGCCCAGCACTGGTAACGCTCCTGGCACAGCTTGGCTGGGAACAATGTCCCTCTGAGCCAGACCACACCAGGAGAGGGTTGGTTTGGGGTCCCACAGGGGTGTACCCAGGCTGAGTTTTGCAGAGGGTCGGTGTTTTCTGAGGTATCTCAACACAGATGTCTGTATCAGTCTCATAACACCTGAGCACATGGCTCTTCCAGAAGCAAGCTTAAAATCTCTGGGTAAGGGGAATTTAAAACAAACAAACACTTTTGTGCTTTTGCGGACATTTGGCACTGTGGCTTCAGACTCTTCCCCCAAGTAACAAGCAATAGAATGAGACAAAATAGTCTCAAATTGGACCAGGGGAGGTTGAGATTGGATACTAGGAAAAATTACTTTCCTGAAATTGTTGTCAAGCCTTGGCCCAGGCTGCCCAGGGCAGTGGTGGAGTCCCCATCTCTGGAGAGATTTAAAACCTACGTTGATGTGGTGCTGAGGGGCATGGTTTAGTAGTGACCTGGCAGTGATGGGTTAACAGTTGGACTCAGTGATCTTAAAGGTCTCTTCCAACCAAAATGATTCTATGAAGTCCTCCCTCTGTGAATCCTTCTCCACCTAACAGAGGATCCTGATCCCAAGAATGAGGGACCCTGTGTAAGAGCAAGTAGTGTCAAACCCCTGACATATAGCCCATCCTGACAGCCCAGCTGGCTTGGATGGGCTATACGTGACTTCAGCCTCTTACAAAACTTGAGCTGCCAAACAGGACAGTATCTTTGTGATCTCAAAACCTGAAATATATCCCTCCATCTTGCAGGTATCCAGAAAACATTACGCCAGAAACTGAAGAGGTGGAGCCCAAGCCAATGGTCATTGGCACTAACAATGTTTTTGAAGTTGGGTGTTGTATCCTTGCTGTGTGGTGAAAGGAACCATCTGATTCACGGCGCTTTCGGATCAGTACATGGGGAAGTGTTTGGGCTCTGTTGGGGTTTAAACAGCCTGGAGCTATTTAAGGTGCAGAGTCTTGGTTAGAAAATGGTGGTAGCGTTTATCCCTTGAAATAAACTCAGAAGATTTTAGCTTTTCCTTTAACATGGACATGTAGATTCACAAGCAATGAAGGTGGGGGACAACAACGTCATTGAATCCAAAGGTAAGTCTTGGCTTATCATCTGGTGAGATGGTGGGCCCTGGTGAGATTTTGCTCTTGTGGACACTGGGAGCAGCAGAGGATTTCATGGTGCTGTCTTGCCCTGGGTGAGGCTAAGCTGCAGCTTGTGACAAAGCTGTGATTTTCATGGCATGTTAGTGCCTTGGTGAGAGCTGAGCTGGGCTGGCTGCAGGCACTGAGCAGCTTGTGCTGCTGATGTTTGGTGGTGGAGGGTTTAACTGCGCCGTGGGCGTGACTCTCACAGGGCTTCTCCTCTCTCCCCGGCAGCCTTTGTGGGCAGGAACGTGATCCTGACGAGCGGCTGCATCATCGGGGCCTGCTGTAACATCAACACCTACGAGGTGATCCCCGAAAACACCGTCATCTACGGGGCCGACTGCCTGCGCCGTGTCCAGACCGAGCGGCCGCAGGTGAGTGTCGCGCACAGGTCACACACCATCCCCCGCCCGTCCTCCGCCGGCTGCCCTCACCTCCCCAACCTCTGTTTTCAGCCCCAGACGCTGCAGCTGGATTTCCTGATGAAGATCTTGCCAAATTATCATCACCTAAAGAAGACCATGAAGGCCACGTCCACGCCTGTCAAGAGCTGAGCGCCTTCTGCTGCTGGTGGGTTCCGTCTGGTCCAGCGAAGCACCATATGGCCCCAGGAAGTGGCTGGTCTCTGAGCTTTGAGAAAAAAAGCAACAAAAACAAACCCATGACTTGCTTATTTGTGTCCGTTATTTATATTCCAACTTTGGATCTAGTGTCTGTCACACGCTAACTATTAACTATTGTATGTACTTTGTTTGGAGAATAAAGTGTGACCTGCTTCTCCTTCAAGGCAGGGCTGCTGTCCTTTCTGGGCACCCTGGTGACACAAGCACTGCCGTGGGGAGTGGGACATCCCTCGGGACAGCCCAGGCTCCAGCTCCTCCCCGGCTTACCGGCAGGGGGAGATGGACCCACGCCGGGGGAGAGCCGGGCTCCTCGGAGTGCTCAGAGAGGCTGTCCTGGACCCTGCACCCCTAAATCCATGTGGATTGGTGGGGTGGGAAAGGCTCCTGGGCCCCCCAGGAGGGCTGCCTGCTGCTCGGCTTCCTCTCCCAGAGCGTCTAGAGCGGCACTAAAGCTCCTCTGCTCCTCAGCTGTTCTGGTGAGCTTTGGACATGTCCACAGCTCCTGAGGTTCCCCAGGGATGTCTCTCACTTCCCCTTCTTGTACGCACAGTCTGACGGATGTGTCGGCGCAGGAGGAAACGGATATCGAGGCAGAAATTCCTGTAGCAAAGAGAGGGAGGAGAGAGCATGAGCCACCCACAGAGCCCTGCAGCTGGGCTTTGGGGTTTTGGTTTGGGACTGGGGGTTTCAGCTGGGACAAGAACATGGTATAGCACCCACCACAGCTGATCAGATTTTCACCCTGGGTTCAGCTGCAGAGATATCAAAAACAAAAATCCACCATTTTTTGTCTTTATGGTGCAAACTCAGGGAAACTGCAGCTCTTCCCCAAAGCCGAGTCCAAATAAGGACTGTGAATATTGTCCTGGCCACTGCCACCACCTCTCTAGCAGCCACGGACAAAGCTTTTTGTGGAGATGCCCGCAGAGGAGGGAAACGATGGGAAATAAAACATGTTTTCCCCCTCCAACTTCCCACCCTCATTGAAAGATAAGGCTATCTCTTGCTGAGAATTTACCCCAAAAGCAAGATTTGGGGAACTAGACCAATCCTGGCACTTTAGACTCCCTCTCAGGGCCAGTTGCCCTCATAGCTAGACACCTCCCGCTCCCCCAAAGGCAGCTGCCATGGCTCGTTTCCATCTCCCCCCCAGCACAAGAGGTTCTGCTCCGTACCCGCCCCGCTGCGGGGCGGCTGCAAACCCTTTGCTCTGAGCCGGTGGTGGGGCTGAGCCCCT